CCCCCCCCCCCCCGGAATGTATTAAACCTGCAAGGATGGTCTGCAGTCTCCTGTCTAAAAAGGGCTTTGTTTCATTTGAGGTTTTGCAATTGGTGCTGCTTTGTAGCTCTCCCTCACCCAAACTGCTCACAGGAGGAGGACACTCATCAGTTAAGAGATGCCCAGAACCAGGCACTTAAATTGATATCAAGTTGTTGTACATCAGTAATGCATTTTTGAAAAAGTGATCCCAGTGTACAATTTATTGTTCCGAGACTACCCCGTAAATGCAGCTTTCCTGTCTCTTTGCAAAGTAATTATTCAAATGTTCTCCCTGCTGGAGGTGAATCGCTTAGTTATCTTGTTCAAAGCCTTGAATTAAAGGTCTTACTGTCAGTGGTGTCTGAGTTATCACTGCTGATCGAGTACTTTCGCCGTTTTTCTTCCATCTGTAACAAAAGAAATTGAACATTACGCTTACTGTTCAGGAAACTCATTATAGTACCTAATCACCGATATCTCTGAATATCCACACATCACATTAACCTAACCACACCAGCAAATACATACCTTAATGACAGAGAAATACTGGGGGCCCTAGTGAATATAGGAGAATAGCACTGAAACCCTGCTTTTTGAAACTTTAAGGGAGATAATATTTCTGTCCCAACTCTCCCTGCTGCTAGAATGGAGGAGGATTGTTTTCTTGTCTCAGCTTTGCATGGCGATTTCCCTATTCAAAGCTGGCTACTAAATGCTCGTGGCCACACTAGAGAGAACCCATGGCCGAGTCAGAGTTGACAGAAGTCAGTGGGAGCAGCAAGTCCTTGACTTGCCTGAAAAATCAGCCGCTGGGCATCTAACACTGGATGCTCAGTAACTGAATCACACAAAGTAGCACCACAGCTACTGTTTAGAAAACATTAGTTCCCAACCTTGACCTGCCACAGGTTCCTCATGTGTGAAATGCTGCTAACAAAGAGCTACCTCCATGGAAAGCTAAGCATAAAAAGTGCTACAGAGGGGCTGAATGTTATCAGCTCCCCCAAAACATTAAAGTTCAGATGCATAAAACCACCTATGCTTTTTAAATTTATCGTGGAAATCTTCCCAGTAACTGCTGAATTATTTCCTAAGAAACCAGGGGTGCTTAGATTGCATTTATGCTATTTCTGACTAAAATCATAAATGGAAAAGGGAATAAAACATTTGGATACATTTCGTGTGTGTGGTTTCAACTCAGTAGCTATTAGCAGCAAACCAAACCTGACTGCAAGCCATAGTAAGCCATTTCCCCCTGAAGAATATGAGAATTCCCACAAATATCTAAGCATATAAAATCCTAGCAATGCCTCTATTTCTCAATACATGTGCTATGTTTTATCACACCATTATAAAGGATAATACTACAAAGTAACATAAACATTTTAACTATCCCTGTTGCGGTAAAGCATTGCCCTGTCAAAACATGATTAAAGCTGTTCCTAGAGAATATGGCAATATCAATACTGTTCTCCAGTGATTCAAGGGGAAACAAATGTTATTAAACCAGCCTTGTACTTAGTAGCCATTAGATTTTGCCTGGGGGAAAAGATACAGAAGACAGATTTAACAGCAGTTTACCTGTCTTTACTGGAAATTCTAGTTGCACGTTTTAAACTGGCTCCTACTGGGTCTAACTGGAAAATGTGATTCGGAAACAACGATCGAGCTGCTGCTCTCCTGTTTGGGCGACTAGTCAGAGCGATAAAAGAGTGCCAGTGGGAAGAACAAGAAAGTGATGGAAGCCAAAACAGTCTAGTAGATGCCCACGGGAGTTTCTATTGCACGCCAAAGCACGCACCGGCTGCCCATGGCTCTCCTGGAAGACAAGATGGTACCACTGACACTTTAGGCATTCCCCAGAATCAGAGGAGGGGGTGTTACATGGGCAAAGGCCCAGATCTGGGAGTTTAGTGACTGGAGCTAACTTTGAGGTCTTCTGCACTTGAGAAAAGCTCCACTGATTTTACCCAGATTGATTGTGGCCTGGTTTACTAACAAGATGTCTCGCACAGCCTTTGACTTGTCACTGAATCTTTCTCTACAGAAAAAAATGGAATTAAATACTTCCCTGCCAGGAGTCAGTGGGCTAACATTAATTGCAAAGCACCTCGGGACCTTTGGAAAGACACCTTTATAGAAGGGCAAAGAGTAATCTGATAAAGCTAGGAATGAGGTCATCCCATCCCACACACCTCTCCCATCAAAGTCCATGTGAACTCCTAGTGTAGAATCACTGCAAAGTCTGTATATATAATAATGCATTTATATTGTATCTTTCATTCAAAGTGCTATAAAATCCTGGCTCCATTTAAGTCAATTGTTTTGACACTGATTTCAGTGGAGCCAGGCTACACCAAGCCAAATTCTATTCTCCTTACTCCAGTACAAACCTGGACTGATCCGCTAACTTGAGCTAGATGTGGCGAGATATACATCGAGCACCACTGAAACAACAGCCAAATGAGGCACAATTCACTGCACGAGCGAGAGGAGGAGAAGTTTTGCCAAGGGAACTAGAACCAACCACAGCCCTTCAGGAAAACACTCTTTTAACTTGCAAAGCTGGAAGCAGCTTTTTGAAGCTTGTATCTGAAAGATCCCCAAAACTGCAAACAGATTGGTACTCCACTTGCTTGCCCCGAAAGAATAAACAGCTGAGTCGACTCTAGCAGCATCTGAACATGTGGTTCCAGGGAGTCTAAGCATCCCCAACCTGCTGATTAGCTCACTGAGCCATTGCTCAGACGCACGCCAGCGCAGTGCTGGGAGCTACATTCCCTGCATTCCTAACACTGCTTTACGTGTTCGTTATGTCATCATCTCCAGCAGAGAAAACAGAGCCGTAAGGGTCTTGCCAGGTCTGCGAAAGAGGAAGTTTTCAGAGGCAATGTTGTTTGAAAGCATATTACTGGGTAATTTTTTTAAGTCCACACGTGTATTCTACCCTTTCGGAGGAATCTTGATTTATGTTTTAATTTCATTTGGCCATTTCCTGACCTATTCCCCATAGCAGGCCATTATTAAAGTCATAAACGAATACCAAAAAAAATTGCAATTCTTTTAAATGGCCACTGTCAGGTCACACAAGGCCCAAAATCTACGGTTTACAGAACCAAAAACCCAGAGAAGCGTCTATGCGCGTCGGCTTACAAAATCCAGTAGAAACAGAAGCCCGTTCCTTTTACAAACATTCACTGAAGTGGCTGCAACTCAAACTTTGCAGCAATACTCTAGGGCCTGGAAAACTGAAAGTAAAATTGATTGGAAATAGACGAGAAGCAAGTGTCACGTGTCTGGTGTTGTCTCTGTTCGGACTGGGAAATAAGCAGAAATGTGAAACAACTGAACGTGGCAGTCCTCCAAGAAATTAAAATGACCAAGTCTCAGGCGCAGAAGCCATGGGGGTCATGGCAATGGCATGGGGGTCATGCTCATGGCAATGGTAAGACTGTCTTGCTTGTACCAAGCAGGGAGAAATGCCTCTCCAAGTCCTGAATGCCCACATTGTACCACCCAGATCTTGGGTCCCTGCATGGATGGGAGGGTGAGAAAGCTCAGGCTAAACACCCTCGACAGTCTACACCCACATCTGTATGTGGGTGAGGATGCACACTAGATAGGGCCTTAAACAATATTTATTCAGGGTGTTTCCAAGGAAAGAAATGGGGAATTGTATCAGGAACCATGGTTCTGCCTTCCCTATGAGGTGGGGACTAGAGGCTTCCCAGAGTGGATAAGGAGACCTTTGGAGGATCAGTGCTCAGCTGGGTATCTCCAAGATACAGTCTCTTCCTGGTATTCCTTGTAGGAAAGGGAAGCTATCCCTTGTGTACTCAGTCAAGCCCAAAGGCTGGACAGACTGAGCCCTAAATCAGGCTGAGGGGAATTCAACAGAGAGATACTTTGGCATAATTCTTCACCCTGCCTGAAAAGAGTCCTTAACATTGCATGGGCCCTGGGAAATCCACTGGCACCTCCTACATTTGGCCTCCAACATGGCTGCGTAACATCCTCTAGCGCAGGTGCTACAATGAAGCACTGTGGGGTACCTAGGTGAGTCAGGAAATGCTGGAGGACTTTGCATACTGGTATGTCTGGGACCACTGCTTCTCAAAACCTGAGCGACAAGGCACGCAACACCGGAATCAGCCTGAACTCCACTTTGGTTTCAGCATGGCAGCTCATACTGAAGCAAAGACCCAAAGCTTCACACTGTCCCCATACAAAACACAATTACTTTTTCTAAAAAGGGCATTTGAACCAAGCACTACTTTTTATCAAAAGACAGTTTCTGTGGTATTTTCTGCAGCACGGTACAGAAATTCTGCAGATGCTAAAACCATTTTGGCTGCAAAGGTCTCTCCCAGAGAGGCACTTTTTTAACATGAAAGGCAGAATAATCCAGGAAACAGCATCTGCAAATTCCTAAAACCTCTCTAGCCATCTAACTGGAACCTCTACCTTCATCACCTGTAATTAATCTAAAGGCATTCTCAGGAGAGAAAACTGCAGGAAAAATATGTGATCATCAAATAATCCTTGTACTTTTTTGCATACCTATCCAGAAAGTATCCCTTATGCTCACAGTTCCCTCTTGCTGATGAGTTTTTGCTTTGCAGTGGTGGAGAAAAATATACTGATGTTCTGTGCTCTCTTCCTAAATTGTCTTGAGCTGTAAGAAACCACTTCCCTGTTTGTTCTTCCAACAGAGCAACAGAAACACAAATAGAAAGCAGCGCCCCTGGTGGCACTTCAGAACATTTCTTTCCAAGTGTCTTATAATAACCCATCTCTTCAGATAGATGTGTATGTAACTGATATATAGATAGAGAGATAGATATATACCTATAGATAGGTATATATATAGATATCTACATCTCTAGATATATACCTATATATGGATTTTTTTTGTTGTGTTTTCTTTTTGTGCTGTAATTAAAATGCAATCAAAACGAGAACACATGCCTGGCTGTATTCTTTCCATATCTGTGAATTAGAACGAAGTATCTAAGTTTCTCCTTTTGCATTAACTATTTATTTGCCTTTTATTAGAGCCAAAACCCACACGACATGATCAGTCTGACCAGTCAAAATTCCTTTAGACTCCAGCAGGGTTTTGGATTAAAGTAACGAAGGGGGTTGTCATGAAGAAAGAGTAACAGAGATCAGGCCTAGTTTGGACTTGGTACATTCAAATAATCTCACAAGAACAAAAGAACAAGCCTTCCAGTTTAAAGAGGTCTCTTTACTTTGCTAAAAAAGCCACAAGCCAAATTCTGTATGCCTCCTCTTGAAGACACAAGCCTAGAGAAGCAAGGGCACTCAGGGGCACTTGGGGGCAGTTTCTTGAGTTTTAGGTCCTTGAGGAGGAGGTTGACTGGGGAGACCACTCCTTATGAGACTG